TTTCGATCCTTTTTTGTTTCTTGTGTGTTTCTTCTTTTTTCCTTCTGAATCCTCGTGTCATCTACACAGGCACACTTTGTATGTAGTCTGGTCTTTTGCTCTGATTGTATTGTGGTGATTTTTATGCTGTTCTTTCCCTACTTCTTGAACAGTTAGAACAAATCATGACACGAGATTTTTTTAATTTGTTGTTATTGTTTTTCTATGTGTGTGCAAAAGATCCTTATTTTTTCCAATCAGCTGATTCAAGGTTGTCCTTTTTATGGTTGTTGTTTTGTTAGTGTACTATTTAAGGCTCTGAGATTTTTCTCATTTATTTTACTTTTAGTTACCATCAATTTGTTTTCTGAGGTTCTTACTATATATCTATTTCTATTATGTATTTTTTTATCTCTTATTTCTCCTTCTTTTTCTGATTAGTTAATACATGTTTTAAATGCACATACATATTAAAGTAAATTAAAAAATATCGTGTTTTTTGACCCCCTTACTTGTTGCATATTGAGCAACTGCCATGGTAGAAATGAAAATGGGAGAAAAGGTTTAGGTTTTATATAAAAAATATATAGACCTAACACTAATCCATTGGTGCTCTGAAATTTGGAAATATTTTCCGAATTTATTATTTAAAAAATTGCATCATATTATTTTCATTTGAACCGAAATCATAGAGAATGAGTACAAAATTTTTTGTTTTATTTATTGACTTATTTTGAAATTTAGTCAATAAATTAACAATTAATATACATAACTGTGTGACATATCGTCGTTGTCTTTACTGTGGTCGTCGATGTCTGTTCGCATTGGTGTTAACAACTCGTTTGTTTTATTTTTTTTTATTTATTATATTATTTAGTAATTTACATATTTGCAACATTTATTTTATTGTCTTGTGGATCCTCCCTGCTTATAATTCCCCAAGTCGAAGATACATATTATAAAAACAAAGTTTAATTTGTTTTTGTTACTCCTGACACAAACAGTCACATAATTTTTATAAAATCCCCCTTTCAGAAAAAAATCAAGCAGCAAATACATTTACTATAAGTGGAACACTTTATACCATTAATACAATATACTTAATTAAGATTTTGTTAAGTCATGATTATCTATCAATGATCATTAGAAAATTTACAAATATATTCAACTTTAACCAAAGTTTAATGGCCTTACTCTGAAACGATTTTTTTGAAAAATAATATTTAACATTTAATTTCTGAGATATTTTGGTGGGATCATCCTAATAAGAATTTGGAGAAATATTGTTGTTATAAATATTTAAATAAATTTAAATTAATAATAATTTTATGTATTTCTTATGGCCACCATAAAAAACCTTAGACATTTAGTTTTTTTAACAATATAAATTTTTTGTTAAATTCATGATTTTGTTTTGTTAATCACTTTTACTCACTAAAAATATAGCGAAAAATTAAAATCTTCATCTGAAAATACGAAAATTGAAACGCATATAATAAAATATTAAATAAAGTGCTCCACTAGCACATAACTTGTTTATTTCAAGTATTTTATTAAGTATATTCACCAACCATCCATCCAACCAACCTCCCATTGTCGTCGTTCAAAAAGAAATACAAAAATCCTTTGTTATTCTACAAAGTTTGCCGCCTTTTTCTTTTGCGCAAAAAAATAAACTTTTAGCAGAGATTCAGATTATGCGCATACACAGATACATTTATTTGCCCACAGTCACACATACTTTTAAGAACTGGTGGCTCTTGGCATAACAAGAGGAGCTCCATTGTGTGCTGTAGAAGAATTTCTTTGTTCACATACGAAGAAGAACAAACGATAGCTACAATAACAAAAAAATATAAAAAAACCTAAAGTATGAGGACAATATACATAATTCCTTTTGCCGGTTACCTGAGCTCCACTTTAACATTCCTTTTTTTTTCTTACTCCCCAACAGAGCTGTCAATTTGTAAAGAAATACCTCTACCAGATTGTAAAAAAGGCCAAAATCTCCATACCTTTTACTAAATTGTAAAAGTCATAAAAAATTTGTTATACATACTTTAAACTAGTTTTGTAATACTTTCGTTTAATAGATATTTAAAAACCCAAAATTTGTATGGACTCCTCTCTGAACTTTCAAGGAATTCCGAAATATATTGAAAAACTCTCCAAACATAACCAAATTTAAACAGATACAGACATCGTACATAATTGGTAAACCTAATAAATAAAGTTTATTCTCTTAATGTAGCTCAAAAAATATCTAACAGTAAGACGCCATCAGCAACTAATAAAAAACCTCCACATTTGTAAAATATCCACAATTGAATACCCTGCTCCCCTTTTTTATATGATATTTATGTCTGCTCTCTGAGAGTAAATTTCATACAGTAAAATTTGTTTATCTTTTTTTTTTTTGTTTTTGCATTGTTTGGGAGCTTGGAGCTATAAAAGCTTGCGCGCCAAAATTAAGTTTGGCATTTAATATACAGCCTCCAAAGTGAAAAGAAGACTTATTCAATAACAATTATTAAATTAAATTATAATTTTCGTAGTTAAATTAAAAAAAGAACATAATAGTTTCTGAAAACGAAATAAATAAAAAGTAATTAAATAATAAAAAATTTTGTTTGAAATTGTTACTGGGCCCCACCTAAACACGGATTTTTTCATATAAGATTATTTAAAGGAAAATGGTTCCCCCGCCAAGTTAAATAGTAAAACATTCCTATAAATATCTTGTGATGGGTCACATTAATGTAAAAAAGGCCCTCGCCAAGCAAGTCATCATTATATATTTTTTAATGGTCTCCTTTGCTCAGCTGATGACTTGCTGAGATTTCTTCAATGTTTGTCTAAAAGGTTGATATTTGAAGAAGTAGAAAAAATAAGTAAAGAATTTAATAAGACCCCCGGTATAGCTTGAAAACAACAATAACAATATCTTAAAAATTCTTGAATTTTTATTTTGTTGCTGTTGTATTTTTCCGGTTTTTTCTACATAGATACATACATATGTATATAATTTCTCCTATTTTTTAAAGTTTCTCTGTTATACACTTGTTCTCTTCCAAAAGGAATGAACAGAAATTTGAAAGGATTCTTCTCTTATTATTTTAATATTTTTGTTTTTTTATAAGGTATTCATGGACATAACAAAAACTAAATCTTATAACTTGTACAATAACAAAAATCATATGTTTTTGTTATTGGTTTTTTTCTATACTTTTTAAGATCTTTTTCAATTCTTTTTTATTTTAGTTTCTTATTTTGCTGCATACTTTAAAACATTTTATTATGTAGTTGTTTTTATTGTACATATCTGTTCAAAATTGTTATTGTTTTGTATCTCAGGATCCTTTGGTAGTATTGCTTTCTCACTTTTCTGTCTTGCGATCTCTTCTTTCATTAACTACCCAGCTGATTTCGTTAATGTCGTTGTTGTTGGTAGCCAGCCACCTCTGCTTTATGTTAGCAGAGACTGATTCTGTTGTTGTTCGAATTCTTCTTTTGGTGGTGGGTTTTGAGCAGGAATACAACGTTAGCGCTGCAGATATTTTCGACGTTGCCGTCGTGTATATAAACTCGGTGTTCTTCAAGAAAGTCAGTCATTCGAGTTCTACTCTTCTCTTCGTCATCGTGTAGTAGCAGCAGTAAAGCAGCGATTGCTTTAAATAACTACTGCTTACAAATAAATAAAAAATTAAATAATTGGAATATTATAAATTTAAAAAATATATATTTAATTTGTACTTAACAAAACAAGAAATATTTGCAATATGAACATTAACTGAAAAAAGACATTCATTTACAACCAAAAAACAAAATACCATTTTAAAAAAAACATATTCAAAATTTGTGCATTAACAAAAAGCCAAGTGTAAAAATTGTGTTTTAGCAATTTTTTAAACAAAAACAATATTTCTTCTCAAAACACACAAATTCTTTCAAAATGATGTGGGAATCAATTATTGAAGAATCCGGAGATATTGCCATGGATTGCCAAAGGTAAATTAATATAAACAAAAAATAAACATTTTATTTTTGCAAAACTGTGGATTACCTGCAAAATAAAAAAAAAAAATAATAAATTCTTTTTCTACACAACCTTCAAATGAAAGCAAAAGTTTTTCGAAAAAAAGCTTTTGCCCATGCGCTCTCTAGTAAAGGGGAGCTTTACTCATTTTTATGTGTTTTGTTTTGGGGAATTCATTCATAAACATTGAATAATAAAAATGAAAAAAAAAACGAACCGGTGTAACATTTTAGCGCACCGTTGTTTTATCACAGTTTCGACCTGACCCAATAATCATGTTGGTTGTTGTTGTGTCTTTTTGGCCAACATTCAGTTAGCCAACAAACCGTAACATTTTCATGTTAAAAACCAGGCAGCTGCCTTTCAAAATGTTCTTTTTTAACTTCTTGCTTCAGCAATTTTTTCTTTCTTAGTCTCACAAAAATACTTCCTTTCAAGGAAGACTTTCCTTTAAAATAAAACTAAAAAATGTTTTGTTTACATTTCGTTCAGTCTCACGCGAACATCTGCATTAAATTGTTTAGTTCCCATAACACGTTCTATACTTATACTTTTTGTGTTATTGAAAACCCCTAGTATTTTTTCTAATTTAAAAAAATTTCCAATTCCAACTACTTTTCAAAACACCATGTGTTTAATATATTTGTAATACGCCAACCAAACACCAGCCAACAACCCTCCACAGAATAAAATATATTTCTAGTTGTCGTAGTAGTAGACACGATGAGTTTAATGAACCTTCACACAAACACACACATTCACTCACATTTAGTTGCACATAGTCACAGCAGTGTAATTGCTGATTCGAGTTACTCCTGCGCTCTGCAGTGTTCAGTAGTATTTCTACCCTCAACATGATTGTACAGTTTTCGGTTTTTATTTTGGAAAAGAATCCTCTTAGAATTTTAATGTAAAAATATTAAATTTATTAAAAATTATCTTTAAACAATTAATTAATTTATATTTTTTATTCTTTTCATTTTAGCTTTCAAATCCAACGTTCAGGACGTAATCCATCTTCACGTCGTTTGAACTTAGATGCTTCCATGTCCGATATGGCAATGGAAGAATTATCATTCTACGATGATGATCATGTCAGTCAAAATCGTCACTTCACAGCCAGTCCCCAGTTTATGGGTTTACTCTCACCTGAGGGATCTCCTCAACGCTTCCAAGTTGTTGAAAAATCAAAATTCTTGCAGTCACGCAAAAACTTCCCCTTGACTGCCAAAAATGTCAACCGCAGCACCACCCTTAGTACAAACACACCCTCCAAAGGATTCCGTCTCTTGCACAGTATGTCATCTACAGGATCCATGGAATCATCTATGGATGATGAATATATGGAATTCTTTGATATGGAAAATTTGGATCAACCCTCTCAATCAAATGGTCTAAATTTCCCCAGTGATTTGAGTTCTTTAATTTCGGGTCAAATCATCAAAAACTCTCCCGTCAAAACACCAGAAATGCGCAGACCTTCAGTAAGACGTTGTCTGAGCATGACCGAAAACACCCAATTCCAGCCAAAGACTCCCGAAACTGTTAATGCCTCAAATGCCAACACCGCCACCACCCCCTTCAGCGCTCGCCTCAATGGCAATTGCTGCTTCAAGCGTCCAGAGCCACCATCCACCACCTGCTCGCCAATACAATCAAAACGCTACCGCGGTGCCGAAAAGGAGAATCTCGATGGCTCGTTTACAGGCAACAGCAAAACCTCACCCGCCTCTTCATCATCATGCTCCTCTTTGGCCAGCACCAGCACAAGTACCCGCCCCACTTTACGCAAATGCATGTCGATGAATGATGCCGAAATCATGTCCGCCCTAAATCGTTCCGAAAACAAAGACGAACCCGATCTAATCGGTGATTTTAGCAGACCATACGCTTTACCTCTCATCGAGGGACGCCATCGTGATCTCAAATCCATTACCAGCCATACCGTCGCTCGCCTTTTGAACGGTGACTTCAATGACAAAGTAGCCAGCTATAAAATCATTGACTGTCGCTATCCCTACGAATACGAAGGCGGTCACATCGAAGGTGCCAAGAATTTATACACACAAGAGCAAATCATCGAAGAATTCATGACGAAACAAAAGACTGAACAACAACAACGCAACAATGAGGCATCGGGCAACAAACGCAATATCATAATTTTCCATTGTGAATTCTCATCGGAACGCGGTCCCAAATTGTCGCGTTTCTTGCGTAACTTGGACCGTGAGCGCAATACCAACGTCTATCCCGCTTTGGATTACCCCGAAATCTATCTGTTGCACAATGGTTACAAAGAATTCTTTGAAACTCACGTTGAACACTGCACACCTCACTCATACCGTCCCATGTTAGAACCATCGTACAATGAGGAATACCGTCATTTCCGTGCCAAGTCAAAGTCATGGAATGGCGATGGTTTGGGTGGTGCCACACAACGTATCAAGAAATCTCGCTCAAGACTTATGGTTTAAAAAGTCAAACAGAATCGTTTCAAATCAACTGCCTGCCCTTCAAAAAAAAAAAAACAAAAAACAAATTTATGTAAAAAGTATTGTCATTGTTATTGTCATTTTTAGTTATTATTTAATTATTATTAGTTCTTTTTGTTGATTTTTATGTTTTGACCCCTCGCCCCTCCCACGCTCAGACCACATTTGTATTTTTATTTTATAACAATTATTTTTTGCATTTTTTTAATTTATTGAATGTTAATGTTATCAATTCTATAATATATTCAATCAATTAAACTTATCCAGACATTTGTAAAAATCTTAAAACACACACACAAATATTTAACAAAAGCAACAAAGGAAGCTTATATAAACAAATTGTCAAATTGAATACCCTTTTGTAGATTCTAAGAATTATTACTTATTATTTATTTTTATAATTTAATTTAGTTAATTTATACATCGTAGAACCAACCAACTCTTCACTTATATTTTAGAATCCTTTTTTATTTTTATATATTATTTTTTTAGTTGAATTTGTGTATAGTTTAAAATTTTAAAATTGTAATTTCTAAAAACAATCATTTTTAAATTGTGTGCATTATACTATAAATACGTATGTATAACAGTCCGTCCGCTTTCGTCTGACCTCTGAGTCTCTTCTCCTTACCTGTTTCTAATTATAAAACAAAAACAAAGAAGCAAGCTTAACAATTTATAATTTAAACAAAAAAATTTTCGTAAAGTTGAAAACTTTTTACGCACAATTACGCTTATTTTTATGTTAACTTTTATTTTTTATTTAATTTTAAATTTTTTATTTGAAGCAAAGCTTTTTTGTATCAAAAATGCAATATAAAAAATTAAAAACTCAAATTAAAAAAAAAAAACAAAAAATCCCAAAAAAACATTAAAAATTTTTAAAATAAACAATATGTTATGAAATTAAACAGTCTTTTTTTCTTTACTTATTTTTGAATTTTCAGTAATGCATTTAATATTCAGCAATATTTTGAAAAATAATAATATGCAATTGAAATAAATAGCAAACAGCAAAACAGTCTTAAATAATCTGAAGTTTTTTTTACATTTTTTATTTTAAATATGAAAAATGTAAATAGTACCTATTCAAAAAGGCAAATATCAGTTAAGGTATTTTCAGACTACAATACTGAGTATTAACGCACTTCAAATTAAAAATATTATGAAAATAATTCGCATTTTCAAAAAATCAATCCGAAAAATACATTTTATGTTTACACTATAATATTTGTAATATTTTTTATCCAATTTTCAATTATTTATGCACTTTTCGTTCTTATTTTTAATGTATTTTACACTATTTGTTTGTTTTTTATTGTATTTATAAAATACATACCGAATACGTTGGAAAATAAAAAGTTTTTGAATTGTTTTAAAAAATTTATGAATACCGACCGTATGCCAAGAAAATCAGTAATATTTCTGAAAATCAAATTACAAATTATATTTAGACTAGTAAATTGTATTATGATACAAATATTTTTGACAAGTATTAATACTCAGTATTGTAGTCTGAAAATACCTTTAGCGAAAATAACTTTAAAATTGAATTGGATAAAAAACTGATAGAAAAAAATTAAAATGTCGCAAAATTATACTTATTAATTTTGAAACAAAATAACATAGTAGCAAATTCGAATCGGTTTCAATTGGGTAATTAATTATGTTATTTAGCTTTCCCATCCATGTACCGTTTAATTTTGAAAATTCAAAAACAAATTATAAATAAAATGTTCTTTATTAAAATGAAATCTATTTTCAAAGTTCAATAAGTATTTTTTATTTTTAATTTTCAAAAAAAAAGAAGAAATTTTAAATTAAATATTATTTTATTTTTTTGATATTTAGAACCAAGCTTCAAGTTGAAGGAAAATATTTTTTGCGTATTTTTATATAATACAACTTAAGGTATTTTCAGACTACAATACTGAGTATTAATACTTGTCAAAAATATTTGTATCATAATACAATTTACTAGTCTAAATATAATTTGTAATTTGATTTTCAAAAATATTACTGATTTTTTTTGGCATACGGTCGGTATTCATAAATTTTTTAAAACAATTCAAAACCTTTTTATTTTCAAACGTATTCGGTATGTATTTTATAAATACAATAAAAAACAAACAAAAAGTGTAAAATACATTAAAAATAAGAACGAAAAGTGCATAAATAATTGAAAATTGGATAAAAAATATTACAAATGTTATAGTGTAAACATAAAATGTATATTTCAGATTGATTTTTTGAAAATGCGAATTATTTTCATAATATTTTTAATTTGAAGTGTGTTAATACTCAGTATTGTAGTCTGAAAATACCTTTACTTTCTGTGTTACGATATACGATTTGGTTCTGAATTTGTATTGAAATAATTATTTCCTTTATGAAAAGTTCGAAAAATCGACTTCTCAAATATACAAAAAAGTCGACTTTTGGTTTCAACTATAGAACCCTACCCTGAACCAGTTTGCAAGTCGGTCATTTTTTTATTGTTTATAATTGCATAATCTAAACAGTCGGCATTTTGGCCGGACGCTGAAACTTCATCCACTGGGGTTACTGTAACAATCGAAAATATTGATCCACCTTAACGTATACCAACCGGCTCAGAATAACTTTTTGAGTCGATTTAGCTATGTCCGTCCGTCTGTGTGTCCATGTAAACTGTGTGCTCGCTACAGGTCGCAATTTTCAAGATAATTTGACCCAAGGACGAAGCCTATTGAAAATGGTTGAAATCGGTCCATTATTTCGCATAACCCCCATACCCCATAACCGTACCCCCGAATAAGCCCATATTAAACCCCTGCCCCTATATTACCCCTCTTTTAGAAAATTCTTTTTTTTTTTTTTTTGTCAACAAATTGTTAACATGTTTCTGAATTAAGGTAAAAAATAAATTAAATGCTTTATTATTAAATAAATAATCAAAATATGTAACATAATCACTGGTGAAGGGCATCAGATGCGGCCATGCGCGACTTTAATTTCTTTTATGTTTTACTATAAATTTATACTCTTACAATCCAATAAAATACAACCCTAAAACAAAAAAGTCACACCATTTTCCAACACTACTTAACGGACATTGTATGCTTCAAACACTTTTTGATGTCATGGAGCGGCCTGGGCTTTCAAACATGTACAATCCTTATGGGATTGTTTGATGTCTATTTTTGGCGACGGCATAGAAATTCTGCTTTAAAAGTTTTTTGTGGTTTTGTCGTACATCTTCTTCTTCTTATAAAGTGCCGTTATAATTACTGACGCTTTTTCAATAATTTTTCAAGTTTAACATTTTTTTTACCACGTTTTATTCGAGTTTATTCTGGGATCGTTTTATAAGTGAAAAAAGATTTGATTAATTGAAGAAATGGATGAAGTATTGTGTTCAAAGTGTGGACAAGTTGCCCAATTTAAATGTGAACGCTGTCTAGAGCCGTATTGCAGTTCCCAGTGTCAAGTAAACGATTGGCAAGATCACAAATCAAAGTGCTACAAATTTCCGTAAGTTGTTCTTTTTTGAAGTATGTTGCGATTGAATTTTAAATTTGATTTATTTTATTGCAGAAATCTAGTGCCCATTAATATGCTAAAGTCTGTATCCAGCAATCTGCAATTGGATAAAGCGGGGAGCAATCAAAGACGTTCCTATGGGTCTACCCACAATCTCAATGAAAGTCGTCGCTCAAATACACCTATTAATGGTAACAAGGCGAAACCAAAAAAGTTACTAAATGATGATGATTTCAACATGGTCCCAAAAGCCACTTCTTCCGCTGCATCTACTGTGTCGGTGGTGAAACCAATTAGTGAAAAGCCCTCCACTTGGCGTGTGGCTTTCCCGCCTTCAGAGGGATTTTTTGACGCCATGGTTCAATTTAAAGAAGAAGTTGAAAGTGCGAAGCGTATTGTGTGGGTTACAGATGTTAAGTATGATAGTTCTCTGCGTAAGCTATTGGCAGAGATTAATCGTTCAATAAATCAAAAGTGTCCCTGTAGTCCGGAAGATATATATGAGGGTGCATTGGTTGCTGCACCTTTAGACCAAATGTTATACCGAGCAGAAATTTTGGATAACAGTCCTGAAGTCCAAAAGGCCACAGTACGTTTAATAGACTACGGCAATGAAGTACGCGTGCCTTACACTCAACTATTTGCACCTATTCCTATTATGTGCAACTTGAATGCTTACGCCTTTCGCATTTGTTTGCCGAACGATTATGGACCTCTGGAAATTGAAAGTATTGTTACCATCAGAATTGTGGGTGAAAAACAGCCGGAAAATTACTACAATGTTGAGTGCAAACTGAAATCGGTACCTTTGCATTTGCCAATCGAATTGTTAAACAAGGAACCAGTTTTAAAAGTTGTTAAGTGCTTTGCGGATGGTCGCCATGCTCTACTACGCTTGTGCAATGGTGGTGGTGTTGATGACCAGGAATTTGATAATCTCCTTAATTCACCGCAAAGTATAAGTTTTGAATTTGAATCTTTGCCGAAAGTGGGTGCATTTGTAGCAGCTCGTACTCAGAATAGTTGGAAGCGCGCGCGACTTTTAGGATTTTATGAAAAACAGCATCAATACCTGGTTTATACGATTGATGAAGGCATTATAAGTCTATCACCACAAATAAAAAGAGTACCCGACTCTTTTGTTACTCAACCAATACGCGTTTTTGCTATATCGACTAATTCGCCCGATTGTATGCTTTCTGAAACAATGCTAATGGCTGCAAAAGGTTTAACTTTACAGTTACTGCCCGCTACCAGTTCGACAATGAGCACCGATTCCAAAACTCAATTGCCCTGTGGGTTGTTCGATGAGCAGCGCAAAATAATGGATGTGGTAATAGCATCAGTTTTCACTGGTTCTCTAAGCGAGCTGGGTCTTAAACTATGGCACGAACGCATACCTGAAGGTAGCTCGGTTATTGTCTCACATGTCCTCACCTACAAGGAGATATATATTGCTTCGCAACTAAGCAGCGAATATCCCAAAATACTAACGTCAGAGTACTCGAAATGTACACCTTTTGCAGCAAATGAACCTATTGACAAAAACGACATCGTCATATACTGTCAAAATGAAGGACAACAGTCAATGCAATGTTGTAGAGGGCAGGTAACTTACATTACAATTATGTACTTTTAATATTATAATTATTTTTAATTTCGTTTTTATTAGATCATTAGTTCTGAGGGCGGTAACGAACTTAAGGTTATGGATATTGATACCGGCTCTGAACAAATGATTTCACGTCGTTATCTACGTAAGCCCACACTACTTGTATGTTCTTTGCCAGTGCGTTGTTATCGCGTAGTGCTAATGTTCTTAGAAAGCATACCAACTCCTATAGCAAATAACAAAGCTTTAGAAGCTCTCGAAACATGCATGCAAAATGCTGTCGAATTTGATGTTACCTACAGTGATAATAACAATACTGTAGACTTGCTCTTTCGTACCAAAGAAAAGCAATCGCTGTGTAAAAAATTATTACCAATGGTATTTGAACCAGCTACGAAACAAACACCAATTGCGCCAGTTTCTACACTATCCGAACACATTTCATATCCATTGTCACCACCCAACACTCCACTTGCATGTCAGCCTCCAGTTACGGTTTCACTACAGACTAACGCTGCAAAAATGCCAGAAGTGTTGGCTCCTACTGCGGCAGCCAAAGCTAACGAAGTATACACTATTGATAACTTGGATGTTATACCAATTGTATGTGGCGACAATGTTCCATTGTATGTTCTGGATCCCACGACCATACTCAATTTAGAAAGTCCATACATTACGGCAGCGGATTACAACAATAAAGAATTTTTGGCAAAAATGGAACAACATCTTAAAAATGTCGCTGATTATTGCAAAAGTGAAAAGGCGCCAAAAAATGGTTATGCTCCCAAGTAAGTTATTTTACAGTTTTTTTTGTTTTGATATCACTATTCTATTTTTGTTTAATAGGAAAATGGAAATTTGTTTATCCGTTTTTGCGGAAGATGGTGAATGGTATCGTGCAATGTGTATTGATCATAAACCGAATGATGTCTATGTTGTCATGTTTTTGGATTACGGGAACATATCGAAAGTTAACAAGAAGGACATTATGCCCATGATATCAGATCTAATGTTTCCTTCAAATGCTAATATGGTGTATATAGACGGTGAGACATTGAAATAATAGTTGTATGTAAATGATTTTATACACATTTATATTTTATAGGTATTACTACTAAAGAACAAGGCGTGGCATTTATAAAGAATATTCAAAAGAATCCTATTATTCATGCCAAAGTTAGCAAGCTAGATGATGCTGATGCTTATATGGCAAGAATATGTTCTTAATTATCCATCTTTATTTTAAGAATTGATTGATGGTATCGTATTGACTTTTTATTTGTTTGAATGACCCTGGAGGTCTTTCATTACTGGTGTATTTTCAAATTGACTTGAAATGAATTTGTTTTTATGTTTTTATACTCAACTTTGTATTTTTTTGTTTTACAAAACTTGACCTATACTTAGAATAAAATATGAATTTATGTTCTTTTTTTAACAACTTAAATAGTTTTTCCCTTTAGTTTAAACTAGAAAGAAGTACATATTGTGAAGAACCAATGATTTTTGTTCGAATTTGTCAAACTCGGAACAAATTTTAGGGAAGTGTTAGAGCGCATATGCATTAGGGTTTATAAACAAAATTAGGCTCTATCACTACATTGTAGCCAGTAGAGCTATAATAACGAAAATATTTTTTGGGTCATTTTAGTGCAAAAACCTTCCGCGTCAAATCGATTTTCTAAAACCATTAACAAATAAATTTACCTGAATGTTTAATAGTATAATATACATGTTTGAGAGCTAAATTTGAAAGAGGGGTAAACCGCCGCCCCTATCCTTGATATTTCTCCGTATAAATGTTGTGGTCAAACAATGACATGATATCGAAAACTTCCAGTTTTATATTAAAAAAATTTGGTTAGAGCAAATGTCGAAAACTTTAACACATTTGTCGCGGATATTTTTTTAACGCTCGGGAAAATGTGATATACTTCTTCGACATATATTTGTATGTTCTATGTGTAATGGATAGGGCCGATTTGAAATTTCGAAAAATCGTATAAAAGTATAACCTTAGTATGCATCTCATTTTAAAAAAGTTCGAAATTATTAAGATTAGGAAGAATTATCTCTGTCAAACATCGAACCGAAGTGCAGATTATCAAAGTTTCCAAACGAAGAAAATTACTATTCGAATTGAAATGGTGGATGTTAATAAAATACACAAGCAGTTTTCGCATTTAAAGCTATATTCATATAAATGAGTTTTTTATTTGCTTAGAAGTTTACAATTAGCATAAAAAAATATTTTTTTGACAAATCTAGTCAAGTCGTGATATTGTATATCTGACCTTAATATGAGAGTATACACATTTGTCTTAATAATAAAACAGATTAGAATGAATAGGATTAAACAATATTTTATATGGAACGGTATAAAACATGTCATATGTTTTTTTATAAAAATTAAAAAATAGCTTATGGTATTGGATGCAATAAAAATTTGGATGCAAACTAATATTAAACTAACCAGTAAATTATAAAAGCTTGGCATTGCGCATTTTATTTAACAATTCTTTAGATTCGACATAACAGACACCATCTACTGATCGAATATTTTCAATGTTGAGATGTGTAAAAGATTTGCAGTTCTGCTCCAGGAAATCTTTAAGTTCATCCGATATATCCTCTGGTAAACCTGCAAATAAAAATTCATAAATTTTTATAATTTGAAAAACACTATATTTATGAACAAACCATCAAGGGCACAAAGAGTTGTATAGCAAGGCAAAGTTAACGACATGGGATAACGTCGTATTAATTTACTTGGTAATTCCATTTCGTTGGTAAAGTCAATATAAACCACCAGAAATTTATCTTCTGAAATTATTTCCACTACCTTTGCCCTGTACCAGTCGTTTTCAAACATTGCTAAGCAATATTCATTTATCCTGTAAAATATTAAAAAATATCCAATTTACTGATTGTTTAATCTCAATATACAATTTATACCTACTTCGGTTTGTATGATTGGTCACTGACTTTATACTCTTGCAAAAACTTTGATATATCATTCAAGTTTTCACAATTTTTATTCAATAAACAGCCAATATAACCACTTCCAGTATAACTGTCGTCTACAATTATTATTTTGCAGTTCCGATCCTTTTCATTTAGGGGAATAATTTCAAATGGCTGTAATAAGAATACTTATTAGAATAATTATATGTATATTGTGGCTTAAAAAGCAATTTGTTTTATTTAACATATTGGAAATATATGAAGAATATTGTCAATTTTGTCCTTGTAAAAAAGTAATAATGGCAAACAAACAAAAAAAAACTTATTTTATTCTACCAAATTTAGTTATTAAATAACCAAATATTCGAAGTTAAAAAAAGTTGAAATTTTCAACGAATTTTCAAATTTAAGGTATTTAAATTTGTCATGGAAAATTTTTTAATTTCTTCTAAAATAACTAATTCTAGAACGAGTGAAACAATCGCACTTCGAATTCTTAAATACCCACCATCCAATTAGTTATATCGCCTTATTTATAGGACCCATTATTATGGAACCGTTACCGTCTTTAATTCAATAATATCACTAGTTCTGAAAGCCAAAATTTCTTATATTTATGCACTTTAGAACTAGTTGTTGGTAGAACCAATACAGAAAGTCGAAAGTAAAGATGTAACGATACTTACAGGTTGTAGACACGGCTTATGCATTTGAATTTGACGAGGTGAAACCGCAGGTTTCTTCTTTGCTGCAGGATTTACAATACTGTGGCTTACAACCGATTCTGTGTTATTTTCTGCTGTAGATGAATTCTTTTCACTATCCTTTTTATTCGAGTTTCCATTCATGACCGGTTTCTCAAATCCGTTATTTTGCACTTCATTGCTGTTTGATAATGATGAGGTAGTTGAGACAAGTTCCATATCTTTATCACTTTTTAGATTACTCATTGATTCCAAAATCAAAGAATTTAATAATGTATTATTTTGCCAGTTATATAGTTTAACATTACCACCAGCTTCATCTGGTTCAACAAATTCCACTCTATATTCCATATTCGTGTATTTGGTTAATGATTCCAACAATTTTAAATCACTTGAGAAATTAACAATATCCTTAAGTTGTACCACGCTGTTGAAACATGGCAGATTTATAATTGCCCGTGAAACTCTGCGCAAATCTTTTAAGTAACGTTTACTTATTTCCCCAAAATCCATGAAACGTATGCGGTAATAATTTTCTTTACGACCTCCCAAGATTTGCACTCTACACCATTTGTCTTCTTTTAGCGCCAGAGCATAAGCATTAGTTTTGGGATTCTCAGAAAATGCACCAGATTTTTTTCCAAATTCATGTATTTCATTTAAAACTCTTTTATTTTCTGCTAGAGTGGAAGGATTAGTAGAGCGAATAAAACAGCGATTAGATGACTTAAATCCTGTCAACAGTACACAACTACCGTGTGGGGGCAAATTACTGTTCTGCTGAACTTTGAGTTCATTATTTACGATAGTTTGAGGTTGAGATTCCTCTCTGGCAATTTCCGTTTTTGAAGACGAGCATTGTCGTCTAGTTTTAACTAATTTCCTAATAGAAAGTTCAAAAATTTAATTAAATTGATTCTATTTTTGATAAAATTAAGTCTTACGGCATGGGAAAACATATATAACGATGATTTTGCCAATCTCTGCGCTGACAAAATTCGGAACAATAAAAATCACCACACCGGTCACATTTGCTTTCGGCTTTTTCTCCACATAAATTACAATAACCGGTGTCATTTAACGCAAGTTCATCAAAATTTGAAGCTGCTGCAGCTGCAAAATCATGTTTCTCCACCGCCGAGTTATTGGTCATTATTGTTTTTCAGTTATTTACTTGATTAAACTAGAATTTTACAATTTTAAACCTTCTCAACAGCTTTAACACAAATAAAAATATCTTTAATACTTCTAACAATGAAAATTTATAAAAAGTGAATTTAATTTTGCAACAATCTCAAAAACTTAAGTATTGCCTATGCAGCGTGTTTTGATAAAATTTTAAATGCATTTAATAAACTTGTATTTAAACTCTCGGAATAGTATTTTTTGTCTAATATGATTTATTTTACTTAAAACTTTGCTAGATTTTTACTTCAATTCACTTTAAAATTTCTGAATTTTTGCATTTAATTACAATTTTTATTCGTGTTATATTGGAAGTTTATTATTGCAATCAGTTGACATGCTTGGAACGGTTTGTTTACGTTTCATACTTAATTATCAACTGTGTGGATTTTTTTAGAGTTGCTAATATATAGTATTGATGGTGATTGTATTTTGTTAAGTAATGCCAAGTTTTATAAAAAATATATTACCGGAGATTTCCGTTACAATTAAAATATTTATTTTATTATTATATATTTGAAATTATACATTACATTTACTTATAATTGGTGATATCTTTACTTACAAGAAATCAATCCTTTACATATCCAATCAACGATATGAAAGTTCTACTAAGTCTGTTGTTTTGTTGTTAATTTCAATTGTTATAGCAGCTTTAACTTTTATTTGAACAGCTGCTCTTTTGTTTTTAAAATTGTATATATTTAATTTATTATGTATTTATTTTGAACCTATTAGTAAGTTTAGCTCCAGTATAGAAATTTTAGTCTTTTACTTCTCTCCCTAAGAGGAGTGTTGAGTGAAATGTTTTATTTCATAATTATATTATTTAGTCGAACTATAACACCTTCTGCCCTCACACCTATTGTAGGAGGTGACATTGTTAGAAATGAGGGTACTTATAACTACAAATAATTGTAAGGATTTTGAATTGCTAAACTAACGTAAAATAAATTTAAGGTGTTATTAAATATCCCTACATGGTGTCATTGCAGCAGAAATTCAACAAAACCCCTGAAAATGATGAATTTTACTATAAACATTTTTGTGGTGGAAGTTTACTTAACTCAGAATGGATTTTATCGGCAGGCCATTGTTTATGGAACAAGTAAGTAAACAGTCAATATTTTGATTAATATACGGGCAATTTCATATCATACCAACTCGAAAAATCGATTTTGAAATCGATTGGATAGTGGGCCAGACACAAATTTTCAGCGCTATCGGTCCAGAACTGATAGATATCCCACTCGCATTCCATTATGGGACTATAAAGACCTTAAAGTAAATTATCTAAGCTTTCGTTTGAGCAAAAAATTATTTTTTTTTTTTTGGAACAATGAAGAAATAGGTGAAAAGTTACACGCATTTGAATAAAACCCAATAGTACTAACCTTGGTGCAAATTTCATAAATAGGAAGACATCGATTTTTAAAGATGGGTCACTTGACACGAAATGACCCATACATATCTCTGATTTGTTTTAAAGAATCCTACTCAAAATTCGGATTAATTAAACTTCAGCTACGTAAAATTCAGTTTAGCTTTTAAATTGCATACTTATATCAGGTTGTTTTACTCTCGTGTTGTATATGCAATAAACTAATTAAAACAGGAATTTAGTTTTAAATTAAAATTTTTAATTTGTTTTTCTTTTCAACTAACAAAAGTATATAATAAGCAATAACAAATATTATTCGATTACAGAAATATTGCAAATGTTTTCGCTGTAATAGGCCATAAAAATATAACAAATATTAGTCAAAAACATCGTTTTGCAATTGATCGCGTTGAATTTATCCACTTTCAGCCGTAAGTAATTAACATACGTATAATAATTTTAATCCAGCTATCTAATGAAAATTTTTTTATAAATTACATATAAAGGACAAATCTGCAAAATGATATCGCTTTGTTACATTTACAAACGAACAATAAATTCCCCGATATAAATTTTAACAACTATGATTTCTATGGAAACTTGCCTAGTTATGGAATGAAGGCCTTTAGAAAAAGTAAGTCCATAAACATATTTTTTATATACATACAGTGATGTTCCTAAAAATAGAGCCACCTGCTCTTTCAAAGTTTCTTTTCACTTAAAATCTCTCCAATGAAGAATTGATACATTCGATTAGTTCTAAATTTTGCATCAATCGGTTAGATTTATAAGAAACCAAAAAGTTAATTAGCAAACAAACTAATAGACTTATCAGTTAAAAGCAATTTATAAGTAAGTATGTAAATATATGAAATATTTCAAGATCCCTGTAAAATAATTGGCTTTGGAGCAAAAAGACATGCTGGACTAATACAGGAACAATTACATGAAGCCGAAGTTTATGTTATTACTAACAAACGATGCCGTTCGCTATTGGGATATGTTTGGGCACCACAAAAAGGAGACAATACAGTATGTGCTTTAGGAATTTCTCAGGAGGACACATGCCAGGTTTGTGTAAACATTCTCAACATTTTTAAGGCTTATACAACTTCTTTGCTTTAAGGGAGATTCCGGTGGTCCTTTAATATGCCAATATAATGGAAAATATTATATATATGGTATAGTATCGTATGGTTTAACTTGCGGCATTAAAGGTATGCCTAGCATTTATACGCTTACTGGTCCCTATATTGAATGGATTCATTTGATAATTAATGAGTGAATTATTACAAATAATTTAAACACATACAAATTTTAAATTACAGCATACATAATAAATTGTAACAGGAATATTTATTAACACAATAAATTACAATTATTTGATACATACATATATCGGAACATGATTTTAATATCTAATTAATAGGCATTTAATAATTACTAATAATTATAGGCCATTTTTGCTAATTTAATTGTAATTTTCTAATATAAATATATAAATAAAAGGAAATGTTGAGTATAGACATCAAATAATTGTTACTATAACTATTAGTAACAATAACAAATAAAACATTAAAGAATAAATAAAACAAAATTTAGTTTTTAATTTGCTCTTCTTCGGGTTGTGATGTTACATTTTTCTTATCCTCATCTTTAGATTCGGCAGAAACCTCTGTCACACGATCGACTAGTTTACCTGTACCGGTTTCAGGTAAAGTAAGAGTGAGTATACCAGCTACTAAAACGCAGCATCCACATATGGTTGTGGGAATATACCACCCAAGAGGACCCTAAAGGAATAAGAAAAAATTTAAGTTTAAATTTAAAATTGAAATTAACAAGCAAATAGTTTAACTCACCAATAAATCTACAGCATAAGGAGCTGTAATAGAACCAACATGAGCCCATGTTGAACAAGTGCCCAAAGCTGAACTACGAATTTCAGTAGGATAAAGTTCAGCCGTATACAATGTCACAACCGAATAGGTAGCACTAATGCCAAAACGACCCAACATGGCAAATGAAACAATCCAGGTGGTGTTATCTGTATTTAAGAAATACAATTTTGATTTCCAATATGTTTATAAAGTTTATAAAATAATCATTCTATTACCTTCTGGCACTACAAGCACCAATAGTAGAGCTATACCAGTCAAAAAGAACAGTGACATTGTTGTTATTCTACGTCCTGTTAAACGTAACATAACAACAGGCACTAAATAAGATGGCAAATCAACCAGGCCTGTTATACCCACATATAGGAAACGACTTACAGCTAAATTGGAAGCATTTAAAGCTGCAACGAAAAAATCATTTTATAACAATTGTTCGCCAGTAACTAATTTCATTAATTTTACATACCGGTTACATAATAACACAATGATGTAACACAAAACATAAAATAGGAAGTTAGAATTAATTTGCGTACTTTGGAGGTGGCAAAAAGGGCAATTATTTGCTTTAGGGGTCCATCTTTAATTTTTTGCCACAAAGAAATCGAAATCACTGGCTCCTCCTTCAAAATGAAAAAAAAAATATTAGTTACATTTACAAACAATTTGATGATGCACACTTTTGCTAATATATTTCAATAAAATTGTTATTATTGGTAAAAATAAATATTTTAATTGATTATTTGTATTTCCATTTAGGCAATCAGAAGCACAAGTTAGATGAACTCGCAAATCTAATCATAGTGACATTATTAACTTCAGTCTCTATGATTAAAATAAAAAACTACAATAAAATCGTTTGAGAATCAAAATTAATCTCAATTAAAATTCCCAATAATGGAATATATATAAATTATATTAATCTTACGATTTTCTTATCAGATGTTATGGGAGATTCAATGGCTGGCTTAACAATCTCATAATGACTCTTCTGTTTAAATAAGATTCTATAGGCACGATCGTAACGCTTGTTTGCTATAAGCCAGCGTGGTGATTCATCCATCAAACTAAAAACAAAAAAATATTGGTTTTATTATTTTTAAGAATTCAGGAATGTCAAATATATGTATGCAGGGCAGTATTAAACAAATTAAAAATCAACATACTAGCAATTCAATATTAACAGCAGAGCTGGTATGGTTAGAGTGAGTTGTAAATATCTCCAGGGTTCGACGAGGTAAGCAGCTACAGCCAAAATTATCATACCAACCGGATAAGAAGCAGAGAAAGCTATAGACATCCAAGAACGGTGTTTTATACAAATGTTTTCGACAACTGAAAGCACAAACAAATTAAACAGGTATTCTACGCACTATATAAGTATCGAACTTACTCATTGCAAATGCAGGATAGAAGAGACCAGAGGAAGCTGAACCCAAACCAAAACGACCAATTAAGAATAGGAAATACCAAGGAGAAAATGTACAAAAGAAACTGGATACGACGAAAAATGCAGCGCCTAAAGTAAACGATGATTTGCGGCCAAATCTGTTCGAAAAGGATTAAACAACATTTACATATTTAGACTTTATTAATCAATCTTTTTATATTTACTTGTCCGAAAATATTCCAAAAGAAAAGGAGCCAAAAAATTTACCAAGAGCAATAACTACTTGGGCCGAAGTACGCTCAACAGCACGTTCGCACACCAAATCCCAATCAGCTACAAATGTACTTTCAGGCGATGTATAATTATAAGAACCTTTTGCTTTGCAAGAAACCTCAGCTGGTAGACTAATTTCCGACATGCTTGACGTATAATTATAGGCTTCTTCGTAGGACATTTTACTCAAATGTCTGTAATCCCAATCCCATACTGTACACCCCTTGGTTGTCAAATCCTTCTGGGAAATACTACGCATTTGATCAACAGTCCAATTTGTTGTCTGAAGATCTGCTATACTACACCATTGATCTTCTGGCAAATGACCAATCATAGTATATGAGTTCACGTGAAATCCATTTAAAATATTTGGTAATACACAGAGGAAAAATATGGACCTGTATATGGTATAAAGAAGTTTTGAATAAAAAATTTTGATGATTTATTTTATATATGCATACATATATGTATAGTTTTAAGTTTTAAATGAGACCCTTTTCACAACAATAAAAAAATATGTATGATATTTAGATTTCGTTTTTATTTTGGATATCGTTGTGATAATCCTGCAGAACATCTTTAAACGATCCATTTAAAATTTGGTATTGAAAAACTTCTGTATGATAGATGGACATTTTGTAGTATTGTTTAAAACAAACGAATTTCGATGTAGGACACTCTTCAAATAATAACCGATAGAATTATTTTACATACATACATATGTATATGTATGTATAGTATACATATGTATAAGTTTTATAAATTCTAAAAACGTTTGTTTCAGTTGTTTAGAAGGTACCGAGTCTACTTCAAAGCCATTTTTAAACGTATAATACGTACGTTCATGCCGAATTATTATTTTTATTATTTAATAGTTTGTAGTAATAAATAATATAAGACAAAACTTAATAATTAAATTCAAACAACAATACAAAACATGTGTTTATAAACATTTTTCAAGTTCAATGTTTTAGTTTTAGCGTTTTACGAGTGCAAGCTTAAAATATACACAAATAGTACAGAATGAGAGAAATTCAGATTACGTGAGACAAGCTTTGATAATGAGTAAAAACTTAATTTCCTGAAAATGCTTGTAAATCCATGAGTATTTATGACCGCGTTTTTGTTGTATTATCGATATTAACCTTGTTTATACCATAAACGTACTCCTTAGTAGGAAGGTAACTACCGACATAGTTGTATATATTATAAAATAAATAAACAAATTCGTTAAATATTTAATAATATAGCACACTATTTGGGGAATGTAAATTAGGCTGCTGTTAAAATTCTGTTTTCTTGGTTATGTTAAATTTTTTGTCTTCATGTCAAAAGCTACCTAATTGGTAACATATTTGGAACAGATAATGAAAAAAATTATACGTGAAATCTTAAATAAGTTTAAAATTTTATTTCATTTTAAAAATTTTTCGTACAACAATGGACAGGTTTAATGTTTTGTTATGATTTAATAACTAAGTTCAATAACTTTTAACACATAAAAAATTCGTTTTCGTAATTATATAACAGAATGCAACAAATTCTGATAAATTATTATATTATTCCAAACAGGTATTTTTAAAAATACATATAAATATTTAACATGTTCGCACAAAATTTGCAATATTTAGAGTCAAAATTAAAAACTATTAATATTGTATTCAGTTTTTGTAAAAATTAGTTATCATATTTATTATTTCGTAAATGTAGATATAATAAATACGATACTTAAATTAATGGACTGCAATTATTTTGAATAGTATTAGAATATGTTCACTCTTATACCTAAATATTTGTATTAATCCTTAATTAAAAATGTTTTTCAAAATCAAAATAAAGTTTAAAGCTCTAAAAGTGAAAATAATTTATATTATCAGCTAATTTTATGAAACTAAATATAATTAAGTATTAATTTTATATAAATGAGAAGCATCTATCTGTATTACACAGATGTACATATTAAGTACAAAGTTCAGGTTTTTATTGTTTAAATATTATGTATATGTATATATGAAGCAAAAATCAGCGTTTCGAAAGTTTTATTATAACGTAACTATTAGTGCATCGCGAGCGGATTTTTTTATAAAGTCGGAAATTCTTAATTTACAATTGTACTGGAAATTTGTCTTGTCAAAAATTTTGGCCCAAAAAATATCTTGAATTTTCTGATTTAATGATTTGTTCTTAAAATGTTGAAATTTTTTAACTCCCATCGTTCGAATTGTATTCTTCGTATCTGAACAAATTAAAAAATACATGCAAATGTATTGTATGTACATTAGACCGACTCACTCTGTATGGAAAGCAAAAACGTCCCAAACGTCCCTCCCAAAATTTACCTTGCTTTGTTTTATAATGATTCCCAAAATATTTTTAGTCTATCGATGGCCGTTCGTGAGCTGGACAAAATTTAAAAAAGGTATTTTTGAATTATTTTTTTAAATTTTAGTTTTGTTTTGAAACAATATAGTCAATATGGGGTATCATTTGAAAAGTGTTTTAAAGGCACATCCAATGATGTATTAATCATAAATTACAGTCTCCTCATAATTGTTATATTCCAAAAAGATTAAAAATTGTTAGGTTTTTCATTAATATAAATAAAATTAATGCACAATTTTGCAAATTGTATACACCTTTAGACGCGGATTTAAAAACCCTTTCAAATGAGACCACATATTGTATATTTTGTTTAAGAAAAAACTGTAAAATTTAAAAAAATAACTGAAAAGGGCATTCCATGTAACCGGTCCAGCTTACGAACGGCCATCGATAGACTAAAAATATTTTGGGAACCATCATAAAACAAAACAAAGATTTTTTGAAGCTGGGTAAAATATTGAATTGAACATGATAAATCGTGTCCCCCATAGGATATTTTCTAGAAAACTGTCCAGCTCATGAACGGACAAAACTACCACCAAAATATTTTGGATAACGTCATATAACATAACAGAGAATATTTTGAGGGGGTAACTCAATCATCATTTTTTGTGAGTCGGTCTAATGTACATATGTAAACTTTAATTTTTTTTATAGTTTTATTTAATGAGTTATTTATTTAAAAAAAGCTTCTAAGAAAAATAAAAATTATTTTAAACAATATTGCATTTAACCCGCGATATGTATAATTAATGATGAATTTTCTTTATAAACGTTAAACAATCTGAGATCTGAGAAATGTAGTTATAACAATCTATTTTATGAGATTTTTTTCATCATATCAGTGTGTACCATAGCAATTAAGTTATTGTGAATTATTGTCTAAAATTATTACTACTATTTATAAGCATATTTAAAAAAAAAAATAAAAATGCTTTCAGACTTACAGGTTTTTCCTATTTACTTCTAAAACTACAAAAGTGGAAATTGCAGCCTTTTCTCTACACTGCTCAAATATCGCTTAATTTAAGCTAATTAATGTAATTTTAAATAAAATTATATTACATTTTTTCTTCAAATCAAATTTTGTCTGTTTTACAAAAACCATTAGTGTTTCACGAGTAGTTTTCCATAAGGATACATAATTTTTAACTTAAACATTTTGAAGGATCATAAAGGACTTCCCCAAATATTTTATGTAGTATATTTTACATACATATTTTTATCTTATTCTCATATTTAGGAATTATTTATAATTTTAAAAGCCCATTTCAATAATTAGCGGATTTTTCCAAAATAATACATGTTATTTTGTTAAATAAATAGAAACATTTAATTATAGTATAAACGTTTATTTTTTGGATCATGGTTTATAAGTTTTAAAAGCATATATTTTTGCTACATATTTAATGCGCATTAAACTTTTTAGAGCAATTTTTTGGTTTCCCTGTTAATAATAAAATATACATTTATGCAACTGATTGTATCTGATTTTAATAACACGCTATCACTTTATTGTATAACTTAAAAATAAGATAAAAACGTTTTTGATTCATGTGCTGCAAATAAACATCTTTTTAGAATACCTGTATTCTTAGCTCATTGCTAGGCGAATTAATTCGTTCATACATTAAAAATGATCTTAAGCATAGATCAAAGGTTTATAGAAAGGATTTTTAATGCAAATATTTTGGGAATCATCACAAAGCAGAATTTTTTTGAAGTCGTATACAATTTTGAATTAAACACGTAAATACGGGGAATTTTTTTTTTTTTGAAAATATCTTAAAGGGACACGAACGGTGAACGCTAAACTCAATTTTAACTTAATGGAGTAGATTACATGATCCATTTAGGTGATCCATTGTATACTATGTAATGCAGGTATAGACCATGTTAATTTTTTAAAAACAAACATGGTCCATGATCTGCATTACGCAGGATCTTGTTGTGTATTATATAGTCCCATAATTTTAGCAAAGGAGTAGTTTTTGGGACTAGTCTAATGTTATGCATATCTGAATTAAGTGGACCTCACATAAAATATGATGGAGCAGGTTTTTTCCAAATATATTGGATAAGTTTTGGACCAGCCATAGTCCTTTACGGAGTACTCTTTACACTTATATGAGGATAGTTTCAGTGGCAGGGTGTTACTAATAATTAAACAATTTTCTTACAAATTTATTTTTTTATTTTGCCGGTATTCTATATTATTATAAATTATCAAAAAAAATGAAGGATTTTAAGATTTTTAAGAATTTTAAATAGCATCCCTAATATAAATCTGTACTATGTATATACATTTTTGATAACGGCATATTTGTTTTTTAATTTTTTTTCGCATCATTAAATTAATATAAATCATCAGAGTTAAAATATTCTTTGCATAACTTGTAGTCATGGAGGAATTTAAATATGGGTAGTTTGTCATTAAAAGTAATGACATTAATCCTAGTAAGGATAATTGCAGGATTAAATAAGAATATTCTAACTGTTTTTAATCATTAAATAGTAACAAATTACATGCATTTTTTTCCAAATGGAATATTACCATACAAATTTTCCACCAATTCCAACACGTTCCAATTCATTTGTAACAATTTCTTTATAAGCTTCCTCGCTTATGCTTGATTTCGATTTTTCCCCTTGATCTTGAGACATTTTTGTTTTTAGTTTAAAAAACGGCAGCAATATAAATAATATTTGTTATTTTCTTAATAAATTAGCAAAAGAACACACAATATTATTGTTTTTAACACTTTAAATTTGCACACACATTTTAAAATATTTATTTTAAAAATCTTAACTTTATATTTAATTCTTTATATTTATTTATTCCGATATAATCGCTAGTTACTCTATTGAATGTGTAACAAAACGACTGGCAGTGACATTGACTTTTACCGATATTTTATTTCTTAAATATGTACATATATATGTATGTATTTATTTATGTACATAAATATTACTATTTTCAAAATAGAGAAGAATATCCTCTTTTTAGTTTTTCTCTTCTTGGTCTCTATTTTAGTACTTTCACTTTTGTTTTTGATGTTGCGTTGCGCTGGGCTGCAAACTCAGATGCAACAACACGAGTACATGTGCATTTGTAAGTGGTTTGTCAAAAATATTTTATATTTCTATTTCATTTGCGTGTATAAATATTTATGCAGATGATTTTGTGCTGTGTTCTTTGTTCTAAAAATATTTTTTTTTTTTTTTAAATTAAATATTTTTTTTATTTTTTTCTTCAATTTACTTTCTCCATAATTTTATATTTATATATATTTTTTTACTTGACTGTCAATATAATCTTCTATTCAAATAGATTTACAAGTGATCGTGATGAATGCGTTTTACAGACTAAATCCAACACACACGGATCACTTTATTATATTATATTTATTGTAAGAAGAAAACAACAACAAAAATCAGCAACATTAACAAAAAAACAAGTGTTATTGTGAGTACAAGTATGTATCATTAGTTTAGTTAGTACACACATAAAATGAGAGTGATCGAATGCCAGTCCGTCCTTATGATCGTCTGTCCGTTCATTCATCAGTAATACACAAGTGACGACAAGTAAGTACTTGTGTTGCTTCTGTTGATATTTTCTCAACAAATCACTGTGTTCAAAATTTGTTATTAATAAATTCGTATAAATGTACAAGTATGTATTTTATGACAAAAATTAAGAATAATCCAACGTTAATATAACATACATATGTATATACATACATACATACATTTGTATGTATGTACATATAACATACATATTCTGTGATTAGAGAGAGAGACACATTATGATAATAACTTAAAGTGAGGATTATTGTTGAAAGTCTTTCTTAAGTTATTCAATTATCACAAATGCGGGATAGTAATGCCTGTCCAACACACAATAGTGAAATTATAAATACCCAGCAGATTTACGACGACACAATGCATAGGTTGATATACATACATATGTAATTTTATACAATATTTTTCATTAATTTAAAAAAAAATGTGATTGACTCAAATTTATATACATACATATTATTGTAATGCAGAAAAAATAAATCATTGCTAAATAATATAGTAACTAATCAATCGTCCCTTTGGTATCTGCAAGTAATTTAGGAAAAAACTAGTAATGCCCGTAAGTACTTTAGAATAAAAACGCTTTGTTCTGTACTGCACTTTGAGAGAAATATAATACACATGGTCCAAAAACTAGCTGTTATTTTAGTTAATTCTGTAGCAAATGAGTTATCTCGTACTGCTGGGTACGTACAGTTACAATTTGATCTTATCATAAAAGTTCTGACTGGCTGGATCTTATCATGAAGGTTCATTTACAAATTCTATGAAGCGGTTCAATATACATTTAAAGTGCATCTTATATTTTTTTTCTGAAAGGACACTGCACAATATGTATGTAAATAACTTATCAATAATAGATAGCCCACAACTACTAAGTAAACTAAATTGTAATTAATGTTGTTTTAAAGATAAGTTATACAGTTATGCACAAAATAAAGAAATCATAATGATTAATTAAAATTTACAATTTTATATATAAACAAGAGAGCAATTATCTGACTTAAAAAGATTTTTTTTGCGTTCTTAAATCGCATTTTTCAAGTGCATGTAAAATTAGGTTTTTAGGTAAGTTTTAGTCATTATTTTAATTATTTTTAAATATAATATAGCAAAAAAACATTTATTTGTCCTGACAATAAAGGCGATACGATTCGCTTATCATATAAACAAATGATTGACAGCTGTTCTGCCGACGTATTATATAGTGTTGTGATAAATATTTGTCAAAAATCGAACTTTTTTTAGTTAAGTATAATTTAGTATTTAACTAAAAAAAGTTCGATTTTTGACAAATATTTATCACAACAATCGTTAAATCCCTATATTTATAAACGGTTAATATTCCTATTAATGATTTATAAAAGAATGAATACCGGAGAAGTATATATTAATTTTATGTTAGAATTACTTTATTATTGCCTTAAATTTGAAAATCCAATTTTACTTTTGAAATAAAATAAGGTTATTCACCTTTTCATAACTAGAATTGCCATAAAGAATGAAATAAAACAAAGTTTGTTACAAAGCTTAGAAAGAATGCATTCTATTTTATTTCAGTTTGAAATTTAATGTTACTCTCAGGGTATTAATTCAAAAGTTCAATACTTTGGCTTTATATTTCGTTGAAGTTATTCTCATTTTTTATGTATACTATGCGAAACTAATTAATTTCAAAATGTTGAATATTTTTCTAAATCCAATTTTAATATTTAAATGGAGTTTAAGATTCCATAGAAACGAATTCAACTGCATCAAAAGCATTAAGAAATTAAAATACATATTTTAAAATTATTAAAAAAAAACAATTCGATTTCAAAACAAAAATTAGGGAATTAATTCTTTGGAAGCTTTGGTCTGTTGAATATATTTTATAAATAAGTTATGTTAAAATTTATTTCAAAAATTAACCTTCAAAAATCCTATTAATTGGATTAATAAATGTACATCACCATCACATCATCATCACACACATATAAGTACAGTGAACAAATTACCTACACGAGTTTCATTAAATTTAATAAAAATGAAAATGATAAGTAAATAAATACATAGTTAAAAAATAAAAAAGTAAAAAAAAAATCAAAGCAAATCTCTAAATAAGGTGTGTAGTTCTAAATTTCAAACATACACATTAAACGCACATTCTCTCACACGTAGGTTTACTGGCACTACATCATTTAAAGTCCATCTCGACATATAAAATTGGATAAAACAAAACTGTTGGTCGATTATATACTTAAATTCACTTGTGATAATTGCGAATGATGATCACATGAGTTAAAGACGCACACACTAGTGAACATTACAATTACTTAAGATGATAATAATCACAAATTCGCCTTTCTTCTCTCCCTCTCTTCTTCAATTATCACAAAGTTTTCAATTGATAATTTTTATAGGATATGAATGCGGATGAACTAGTGTTTCTTGTAGGCTGTAGTCAAAATTAAAACTAGGCCACTTATGAAAAGAGTGTATGTGGAAACATTATATAAATTGAAAGTACTAAGAAATACTGAAGACCATGTGGTTGTTCGACTACGTAAATAGCTGTGACATTGTACTTCGGCTATATCTTGCCAGGAAACAATTTGCGGTCGGCACATAAGCAATGCATTTACAGCTGCCCTAAGACCGCTTTGTACAGCACCACCTAAACGACCGCGATAACATGTACCAGCGGCAGCAGAAGATGACCAAATTATACGATTCCAGGGTGTTGTCAGTGGCAAATGGAACTGATAATTTAGTTCATAGCTGTGTTGTTGAAATTCTCGAGGCACAAGCATTTCTTCTCCGAATATTTTGCCAAATTCGTGAAGTACTATTGATCTCACCAAAGGTTCTATTCCTTCTTCATGTATCATGAAACCAGCATATACTGTAGGACGATACTCGTAAGCAATCAAAAGTGGTTCATGTTTAATATAACTTCCAGAAAATCCTTTTAGACGCCAATAGCCTTCCCTGTAACTAGCCAGAAAACTTGTTATAATATATTTTTCACTATCCACAGGTAAAGGCGGAGTTTGCAACTCTAAGGGGAGGGGAGGCCGAAAATAAATTTCCTGTGAGGAATTCCTTGGTATTGATAAAATTATTGTTTCAGCTACGTGATATTCATTTGCGGAATCCCTTACTTCAACAAAATCTCGATATTGATTTATCGTGCTTACTTTGCGTCCATAGAGAATTTCTACATTCTGAAGATATTGTAAGAGTTTGTACAACAAGTCTTTGCTAGAAAACTCTAATAAGGAATAGTTTGGAGCTTCAATAATCCTACATTAATTTGAATTAGTAGAAAAAATTAAAAAAAAAAACATATTTATTTAAACTTACAGATCAATTAATCTTCGTATGCCACCAGATGTGTAACATATTGACATAAAATCTCTGAAACTAATATATTTTGCCTCTGTTCCACATATTACTAAAACTAAATTCATCATATATTTTCGAGACGAATTGAAAAACAAACGATTATATATATGTTGTTGCATTGAATATCCTTTACATCTAAATATAAATTACACAGTGATACACAAATGGAAGTGCATATGTACATACATATCGCTCATTTACTACAAGACCGGCATAAACCAAAATCCAATATATAAAGTAGTTGTTAATATATTTCTTATCTCAACTTGACAAAATTTTTACTGGTCAATTATAAGTGAAAACTTTGGTTTCTAATTTTGACGTTTACGATAAAAAATTACTCGCACTCTGAAAATAATAGACATTTCTCTAGTACTTAGTTCAAAAACCCGGTTATGTCAGTCTTGTAGTAAATGAGCTATATGTATGTATGTATGTATGTTGTTCTTACTTAACAAAACCTGGTTTAAAAAATTCCATTTTGAGTTCAAGTTCATGTATATAACGCTTTAGTTCATAATTTGCTAATACAGAAAAAATCCCCTCATTCATTTCTCTATATGATTTTAAATGAGAAGATAGACTATTTCGCTTGAGGATTGGAACTTTTAATGTATTAATTAAACGATAAATGTGGCATTGATCTTCGCTAATCCATTTAGCTCCAATTTCTCCTAAACTGACTTGATGTAATTGACCACCGACTCTGTTTGATGCTTCCAATATCCTCACGTGAAGACTTGGTTCTGTTTGTGTTATTTTAAGAGCTGATATTAAACCCGATAATCCAGCACCAACTATTAACACATCAATTTTTTTATTTTGTTTCGTGAGTTCAGTAATTGCTTCATTCACCATCGTTATTTTTTTTTTTAATTTCAAAAAGTTTCTGAAGGTAAACATTATAATAGTGCTGCCAAGTTAAAGAAATATATTTATGAATTTATAGAGTATACTTTAAGGCTGATTTAAAAAATACCCACTTTCGTTGCAATAAATGACAGCAAGTTTTAATACTACATACATAGGAATTTAAATTTGCATCCCTAAAAAATAGCTACTAATTGTAATTTAATATAAATCCAAATTTTATAATATCACTTAAGAAGTTCAAATGCGAGTGTTTCAAATCCTAATCGTAAGGTTTTATAATTTTGAGACCATTTTCTTAAAAAAACTTTTAAATTTATTGAGTTATTTCATTGAAAATATCAAGAAATAAACAAAAAACATATTTAAAAAAAATTATGACATACATATGAACTTTAAAATTGTTTCAAACTTTCGAACGTATTAAAAGCTTATGTTCTAAAACTACTTTGAAATAGATGAAACTGTTAAACTTATAAATAAAAAATATCTTGATAAATCTAACTATATTTAATTAATTCTCATTTTTTAATATAAATTCATATTAATCATGATCTAAATATTATTTTAGCAGTAAACAATTTTTCGAACTTCGAATTCTTTTATTTTAACATAAAATTTTGTACATAACATTGATTTGATTCTAAAAATTTATTTGCTAATTTCAGACTATTTAAGCTAGAGGATTGTGCGATTTAAAAATTTAGATGTAGTATTTGTAATTATTAATATTAGTGTGTAGTAAGTAGTATATATACACTCTGTAGTGTTATGTATGAAATACATACATATATATAAAAATACATACATATTCTGATAACGTTTCAAAAAACATTTTATGATTTTGTTGCTAATATGTATGTTCTATAAATAAACGACAATTTATGTTATTTTTTAGTTTAATATTTAAATCTCCAAAGTCGTGTTTATTTAAGATTATTATTCCATATGATATTTCTTACTTTAAGAAAGGATTCTTATTAAAAAACGATGGTAGAAAACTTTTAATGCAGTTTAAAATGTTCATTAAACAGTTATTATTTGACAAATAAAAAAAACTTTTTGGAAACATAGGTGACGATTGTAAGAAAACATAAAAATCTCAAAATTCCAGCTGGAATTTAGCTACCGCTGTATGGCTATTATTACTTATCTGACAAGGCAATATTTAAGATTTTAATAATGAAATCTATGGAGTTATCGAAAATTTTGCGTATATCTCAATGGCGTCAATGGATTCGCGATTTTATCTCTTTATTCTGAAATTCAATGTTTAATCAAAACAATTATAGAAATACTACTACAAAACTGGAAAATAATTGAGAATATTCTACTCTTAGATTTATTTTTTAATCATTGATAATTCATTTTGAAAGTACCTACTGATTTAATGCTTTCAATATGAAGTGCAAATGAAATATTTTGTTTATATTTGCACATACATACATATGTATATACTTAAAGGCATTAAATTCTTTGATTGTAGTTAAAAGTATTCCAACAAACAGTTATTAATATATGTATACAAAATTTATAATTAAGGTTTTAAAATAAATATTTACAAATTCTCAATTTAGTTCTTATTTATAAAGATTTAACGAAATAGTTAATTGCTGATTAAACATATAAGTTAACTTAATTCGAACTTTAATTCTCTATTCTGTTTTTGAGCAGTAGTTTAAAATTTGTAATACTGTCATACAAAACAACATAAAATGTAAAGTTTTGCTATAAAAAATTTAAAGAAATTAAAAATTGAAGAAAAATTCAGATTTTGTCTTCAGATTTTATACTAGTTAAGAATTAAAGAATTTTAATATTAAGTTTTATAAAAATTTTATTTATGTTCTCGCGGCAGTTAACACTTTGTCTCTTCATGCCCAAGTTTAATCTGATCTAATCGGGCGCTTAAACTAGTAAAAAAAATACTAATCAAGTACTCAAAAACAACTTTCAAAGATTTATTTTAATTTAATCGCTAAACGTTCAGCCATTTTGACTCTAACTATTAACAATTTTGCAATATTTAATTTTAATTCATGTTTTAATAATTCCTTAAAAACATTTATTACTATTGCTTGTGAATAATTTTCTAGAGCAATATAAAACTTCAAGAGAAACAAAAATCTTTTACAAGTTATTTATGTTTTAACATTTTATTTAAAAACTTTAATTCCAGCTAAATATTAAAATTGTTTCTAATTGTTTGATTGCTTTTTGAGTATAAGTTCTATTCACAAAAACATTTCATTATAAAAAACAATATCAACAAGTAAAAAACTTATCTCTTAAATGGAAAATTTCAAACAAAATATTCTATGTATATTAATTTTTTTATAAATTACTACGCGTATATTGTGCGAATTAATTATCATTTGACATAATTTTACTAGTTATAAATACACATACACGTATAAATTCGTTAATAATTTACATTTGCAATCAGTAAAATTATATAATAATTATAAATTTTTATATTATAAAAATAATATATATTATGTATATATGAACGGATAATAAAATATATTATTATTTCTAATATTTATATATATAATTTTTCAAAGAAATCCGGTTAATTAAATTTTACATTTAAAATGTGTGTCATAATTAAGTATATTAGTTCCATATATCTCCTCTTTTTAGTTTGGAAGAGTATGTCTCTATATTTTATTATCCATAATCATACACAACATATACCTACATAAGCTAAATTACTTGGAAATTTATTATAAGTACAAGACACTTTGGAGAACACCATAAATACAATCAGTATACCTATTACTTTTTACCATTTTGTGTTGGAAGCATAGACGCTAGCTCCTCGCCTGCTTCATTTAGGTCATTGTGCTTTTGTTTTTTGCCAAAATTTTCACCATCTTCAATGGTTTCTGGCATAGGTCTGTGGCGTGTTTCCGGAAGCAAAAGAGACAAAAGACCACCAACGAATGCTAAAGCACCGCAGAGGATTAGTGGCAAAGGTTTCCAAATTTGACCCAATAAATTAAGGTAAGGAGCTAAAATACCACCAATACGTGCTACCATTGAAGATGCTCCAATGCCAACGTTACGCACTACAGTGGGGAACTGTTCTGCTGAGAATATATAAATGGTACCATATGCGGCAGTTATGGCAAATTTACCAATCATGGCAAATGTTATTATTAACCAATTCATATCTTCCGCTACCAGTATGGTTAGCAGGAGAGACACGCCAGCAGCAATCATGCAACCGCACAAAATTGTACGTCGACCCCATCTATTAAGGGTCACCAGTAGGAATGAGTAGGCAGGAACTTCGACAGCGCCAGATACCAAAAAATTAAGGAAAACATTTCCACCCAAATTGTTCGTATTCCAGGAGAGGCCATAATAAACTCCACTATTGACAAACCAATCGAAAAATATTATCAAGGTTTTACGTCTCAAATTGGGATAACGTAACAAATCAAAAATGGATGGGGCTTTCTCATTTGAATTCTTATTTAAATTTTCTTCCTTTTTCTTTTCCGTAGCTTCATCTATTAGATTGTCATATACTTCTTGGGGTATATTCACATTGTTTACTTTGGCAGCCTTTTCAATGACAATAATAGCTTCATCTTTGCGTCCTTTCAACAGAAGCCATCTTGCCGATTCAGGTATAATCCAATGATAGCACATAAACAATAAACCGGGCAGAGTAAGTGCTATTTGTAGCCATCTCCATTCACGAATAAAGTAAGCAAAAACGGCAGTTAACATAAAACCTGTAGAAAAGAAAAGTTGACAGGCGACACCAGCAAACAGACGATACGAAGGTCCTACCATTTCCATGGCAATAACATAAGCTACTAAGAATGTGCCCGAAGTAGTTGCTCCCACTATCATTCTGGATATCGTATAGGTAAAATATTCTGGTGCAACTCCAGCCAATACGCCGAAAACCACCTGAATCACCAAAGCAGCAAAGAAAGTTGGTTTACGACCATACTTATCGGACAATTGGCCAAAAACTATACTTCCTAGTAAAACACCAAACATAAAGATTGAATCACTAGTGGCACTTAACAAACTGCGACCGCAAACCAAATTCCATTCTGTAACGGCACTATTTATATACAGAGATTGATCATAGACAAAATGCTCACATTGTTTTGTGCCATTGGCTACCTCGACCACAGAGCCATTTAAATACTCCTCTGTATAAGGAACATCATAATATTCACATGTTTGCCATTTGTTTGTAACGTCATCAAAAGGATACGAAAGGTTCCAAAGATCCGACGGAAAACTCTGATATGTAGTCGATGAAGTATCATTTTCAAAAGGTAGAACACAACGAAAATCTGGACGTGCCAACAAGAAAACTCCCGCTAATTTGTGCAATGCACACGAAATGGCTGGTAAACAAAGAAGGAAATAAATTTGCTTTTGATAGCGTCCAAAGTCGCCTAAATACGTAATGACATCATCGTAACCCATAGTGACGTGGTCTTTATCCTTTTTGCCAAAACACACTACATAAACAGCACACTAACAGTCAACTAACTGCTCAGCCAGTCGGTCGGTAAAATGGAGAAGTGGAGCGAACGAAAACTATTTCAAGTTCAAAATAAAGACAGCATTAACGAGAGATTTCTTTAAGTTGTTGTACTGTTATTACCTTGTTTCTTTTTTATATTCCTTTAATGTTATAGTTATGTTTGTTGTTGCTTGTTGTGAGCAATTAAAGACCCCGCGGTCGTAATAAATTGTTGAATGTTTTAACTTGTTGCAAAAGAATCTAACCGAACCGCACCACTATGAACACAACAGTGACCGCCAACCGAACAAGAAAAACTAAAAATCATGCGCACACTTTAAATATCTCTTTGTTTTGGTATGAACCCCTTCACTCCTCTCAGTTTGCTACGGCAGCACCACTTGAATTGAGGAAAAAGTGTGTTGTGTACTAGACGATTGATTACGTTCTTGTTGTTAACAAACACTCAAATGTATCCGCCGAAACT